TTTTCACTGATCCTTCACTTTACCAAGCATGATGTCCGTCTTGAGGGTCTGGTCACTCCTGATAATATATGTAAAATATGAGAAGTGAAGTCTGGTTTCTGGTTATCCTGGCTTCTAAGGAGCATTCTGGCTTTACTTCTTCCAAAAATGATTTGCTTGCTCTTTTGGCAGTCTATGGTACTTTTAATATTCTCCATCAACACCATAACTAAAATGCATAAATTCTTCCTTATACAGCCTTTATAAAGTGATATGTTGTTGTTGTTAAGTGTCATTGAATCAATTCTGACTCATAGAAACTCTGCATAGGGTTTTCATGGAGCAGCCGGTGGATTTGAACTGCCAACCTTGTATTTTGTGGTCCAGTATTGATTCTACAATGCCACACCAGGAGTCCTCCTAAGTGATATGGCATTGCTAAATTGTCTACCAAATTCCACTTGTAATGAAACCTTTGAAACTTGTGGGACAACTATCACCCACCAACATTTTCAAACTTTTATGGTAGAATATACCTCTGCTGGAGTCCTGGTGTGGTGCTGTGGGTTAATGTGCTCAGCTGCAAAGTCAGTTTGAATTGCAAGGACAGAAGTTCAGGCTCACCTGCTGCTCCTAGAAAACCCTCTACAGGGTCACTACGGGTTGGAACAGACTCGACGACATTTAACAACAGCATACTTCTGTTTGACTAGGACCTATATAACTGCATGAATCCAAAGAAGCAGTCTTTATTCCAACAAGCTTACTATCTGAGTCTCCTGGAAAATATGTGTGCCACACAATTTTATCAAAACCCACATTACCTTAATATTTCCCTTGAATTTAGCATGTCATTCAGTACTGAAAACACATGGAGTCAACAAAAAAATTCAAAGTAGAAAATAATTTGGTTGTGAAAGGGTTAATGAGAGTCTTATTTTTCAGATGACTTGTTTCCCAGAGTCACAGATTGGAAGATATCATTTGCTGTTATTGTTCCTGTTTTGCTACTTTTCTTCCTTATTGCTGCCATTTTCATCTGGAGAATGCACAGAAGAAATAGTGAGTAAAATTTTGCAAAGTATGGTGTGTAATGGCATTGAGAATGCAGAGTTAGTAACTTCTAAATTGTTCTAGAACCCAGTTTCTCAGCTGTGACGTTACTGATATTTGGGCAGGATAGTTCTTTTTGTAAGACTGTCCTGTGCATTGTGGTATCTATTAGAAGACAGTAACACTCCTCAGTTGTAACAAACAAAAATGTGTCCAGAAATTGCCAAATGTCCCCTGGGGGGATGTAAAATTGCTGACAGTTGAATTCCATTGGTTAAGAACAACTGTTGAGTCCATGAATGTAATAAATAGTGGAGTCCTGGTGTGGCGCTGTGGGTAATGCATCAGACTGCAAAGCTGTTTGAACTTCAAGGTCAGTGGTTCAAGCTCACCAGCTGCTCCTTAGAAACCCTATACAGGGTCGCTATGGGTCGGAATCCACTTGACAGCACTTAACAACAACAATGATAGTGAAAGCATCACACTAACTCAAAGGGCAGTATCAAAGCCAAATAATTTAGGCACACATTTGATTGTGGTATTAATTCCTGGTTCTCATCATGCTATCTTAAGTGTTTCACAGTGGGTTTCCAGCCTGCTCTTTAATTCATATCTCTTTCCCCCTCCCATGGTTCTGTCATCCCAAATTTATTTTCATTCCACTAAGGTGTTACATCTGTATGTCTTTTAATGTTTTTCCCTTTCATGGAGAATTAATAACATATTAGTATTAATTATGTATTAATTAGAATTAATAACATATTAGTAACTCAGTACTCATAAAAGTGGACTCAAAAATATCAGTGATGATGCAGATCAGGGAATGCTTGACTTTGGTATTTTGTTTTTGACTGCATGTTATTTTGTCTTAAATTATACTCATATTGGGAACTACCCTATTCTTCCATAACACAGAACTTTTAAAATATGTAAAATGCTTTCAAATAACTGTGAATGAAGATGAAAACAGTGTATATTTTTTTCTGTCAATTTTGCAATTAAAAATATATATACACCTCCTTGGAATTTTACTTCATCAATAGGAAAATTTGTTGTCTTATTTTAAACTGCCAGTTCTTTGTTTTCCTCCACTATATCCACAACATCTAGCTTGGTGCTTGAGTTCAAGGTCATTATCTATTGTATTGCAACATCATGGCCATTCATACTAGCTGACCCATGTTGTCAGTTGTTGTCGAGTTAACTTTGACTCATGGTAATGCTACATACAACAGAATAAAACATTGCCTGGTTCTGTCCCATCTTCACGATCACTTGCATATTTAAGTTCAGTGTGGGTACTGAGTGACTTCCAACATAGGGGTCTCATCTTCCAGCACTATATCAGACAGTGTTATGTTATGATTAATTGGGTTTGCTTTGGATGCTTTTGGAAGCAGTCCACGTCTTTTTTCGTAGTCTGTCTGAGTCTGGAATCTCAATTGATAATTATCCACCATGGGTGATCCTGCTGGTATTTAAAAGCATATGTTACATAGCTTCCAGCATGAGAGTAATGCAAGCAACTATGGTAAAACACTAAGAGATTAATAGTTGTCAGCATAAATAATTGATTAATAACCTCTGTCATTGGCCTCAAATATTTCTATACTGCTCTGCCATCCAAGTCTCTTGTTCAGGGCATACTGGACCTGCTCACAATTCAGCAGTGAAAAGTAAATGCCTGTATAAATTACCTAATTTATTTGTGAATATAAGTAATACAAGTAACACAAGAAACAATGCAGTAATACAAGGAGCATATATTTAGAGTTCAGAGTTTCCACTGGACTTTCTTTTCATGGGTTTGTTTGGTCCAGAAATAAAGCAGCCTTTGAATCATCTGGGGCAAGCTCAGACCACTCCCAGGATTCAGCATTTGATCTTTAGTGCTTTACAATGAGACCATCTTGGTATGCTCATTGATTTGATACTGTACATCCCTGTCTTAGTGATTATTTGTATTTCTGTTTTGTCTCATACATGGAGATTAGTAAGTCCTTTCACCTCATGAAGGAACAGGCTGAAAATGACCACTTATGATTTTTGCCCATATTCTCTGGTTAACTAAGATTAGTAACTGAGTCTACAAGATGTTTACCCACCTGAGGGTGGCTACCCTGTCTAATCCTAATTAGTGTCTCAAGTTCCCAGGTCACTGCCTGAACCAATGTGATCAAACTCATTGAAGGAGTGCTGTCTCTGCCAACTTCATCTCCTTGTAAGGTGCAGGGCATACAGTAGGATGGGGGTATTTTACAAACCTAAAGGAAAATAACAAAAAAATAACAGAGGACAATAAAAAACTGGCAGCAACAGTGTCCTGTAGTGGAGAGTGACAATAAGAGATGGAGCTCAAATGTAGAAGGATAAAATAAAGTCAGTACCAAGAATGTATTATATAGCAGATTGTTTCCATATGAATAGAAGGAATAGGGTACACATTAAAATGTTCTTGATCAAACATGTCTAGAAGATTCTACAGTTAATCTAAAGAAATATGCCCAAAATTGAAGCGGGGAAGACCAATATCTAAATATCCTCCCACAAAATGGGTTCGAAGGGCTAAGATGTGGTCAAGATGACCCACTTTCAGAAGATTTGCTCCCTGCAAGAGAGATGGGGCCTTGGCTCTTAAGAGGCTCACTGAGAAAAACCTGAATCATATTATGATGTTCTAATTTCCTTCCACTTTCCAAATTGGACAATGTGGGGAGACCTTGTCCTATATAGATAATATGGCCAAACACGTGACATTGGACAGATAATATTGGCAACAGTGTACTAGTCACATATGTTCACAGACTAAAGGAGAATGACACTGGATGCTAGACAAGTCCAATAAGGTTTGCATTCATGTGTAAAGTGAACCAGTTGTGGGTGTGGGAGGTATGTTTCATAAGAATAAGAGGGGGCTGTGTCCCTGGCTCCAGTGGGGAAATATGATTATTGTCATGGCAGGGAGGTGAAACCTCTTAGGTGGAGAACTGAGTGGATTGCAGCTGTCCAGGCTGACCGGAGAATTAAGTGGGTAGGGACCTCTCTAATGAGAGCAAGGTAACTCATGGTTAGGTCTTTGGGAGACTCTTTGAGAATCAAATATGTCAAGAGAGCACTAGAAATTTTGTCTTACAAAGATATGACTTTCTATAGAGTTTTTCATGTTGAACTGCTAACAGGATACACTCTTAGAGTTCAGTTAGTTCTGCTGCAAGGTGACATGTGTGTTCCTAAAAATTAATACAAATTACACAAGAAAATTACAAAGATATTGAGAAAATGAATTTAGGTATACAACATTCAAAAGCTTTGCCAGTGACGTATTAAAAGAAGATAGAAATCAAGTTAAGATAGTAGCAACATTCTATACTTACTGATGATTATGATATATTTCAAAGTCTTAGTGTGGCGCTGTAGGATGAGCACTGGATGGCAAGATTGGTTTGAACTGTAATGTTGATTTGAACCAAATAGTCTGTCATTCACACTCACCAGCCACTTCTCAGAAACCCATAAATGGCATCACTATGTGATGGAAACAACTTGATGGCACTGAAAAATAAATAGACTTTTGTTGTTGTTATTGTTGTGAAGTGTCGTCGAGTCAGTTCTGACCCATAGAAACCCTGTGTAGGGTTTCTGAGCAGCAGCTTACAAGACTATAAACTGTTTCCAAAGCAGAATTGACTTGATAGCAGTGGGAGGTGTGCTTTATATTATTGAGAGCAGTATGCAGAACGCCATGTGCTAAATGCAAACAGCCGGGAGGGACTAGAACTGGTGAGGAAAATGACATAATTCCCTGGAATACACTAAAGTGAAATCAATACAAAGATTTTAATCCACTATTTCTTAAAATTCCTAACTTAAATCTAACCTCTTGCTCAAATGTTTGCATGTACCTTATAAGAGTATAGATAATAGTTCAAAAACATTTCACAAGAATTTGTCTCTTTTTTGTGTTTCAGGGAAGCTTAATGAAGACCTTGGTAGGTAATATTTCTCTAAGACTATATGTATGTTACTCAGAGCAACATCTCACTGCATCTTATTGTTTCAGAAATGAAAAAACTCCTAGGAGAAGGAGGTAAGTGATGAAAATGATCACGCCAAACCTTACCCCATAGAGTGGCTTCTTTTACTACTCACCTGTTACCTGTTTTATTCATTTATAAATCTTGGGTTATAAGCTAAATCTTGGTTTTGAATAAACTTTCTTTCTTTCTTTTTTAATTCCAGGAATAATAAAAGCTCGATGCTATGCAGGTAATTAAAGACATGAAAATCTGGGTATTGATTATTGGTTTTAGCCAGCACCCTGGGCTACAGGGATAGGCAATCTATAATAACACACACACACACAGATGCACACACATAGAGTCCTTTTAGTTTGCCTAGTTGTCTATTCCATAATGCTCCTTATCAGTTTATAGCTAAAATCTATTAATTTAGGTACTATTTTACATTTTCTTAACATCTTACAAAGTCTTTTTAAAACCATGGTTTATAAATGCTTTAAATAGTATCTAAAATATCAGGATAAATATACAATGATAAAATTATGAAGCAAGAATTTGTTTAGCCAGAGTTTGTTTTAAAAGTTAAACTAAGCAATGCTTTTCTCTCTCTCTCATGTTAGTTACTTGAAAAACAAAAACAACTACCACCTTGAATAAGTTGTGATGTGTGTTATAATCTCTAGCATTATCATTAATTACAATTATTCTTGGATCTCAAGATAGGGCCCTTTTGTTTTTTGACAATGAGGTCATAAGAAATATCAAAGAAAATAACGCATTAGACAATGTTAAACAGGCAAGGAAGAATTTATCCAAATGGATCATCACAAGGAGGTCTATTGGAAGTGGGGGAGAACACTGAAATAGGAGGAGGGAGATTATTGCAAAAGATAATGAAGCCAACCCAAACTATAATTAACTCTGTGGAAACAGTAAACTGGGATAGACTAGTGGAAAAATTCTGATGAAAGTTAAGGGAGATAGATAACTGGGATGGGTGAGTGATTGCCAAATTTTCAATTATGGTTATATTTATTCAAACAGAGATGATCATTAAGATAGTCTTGGTTGGTTCTTTGCAGTAAGTCATTTTCCAGAGCACAAATCAATGATATTGGTGGTGGGATAGCCATTGTTGCTTTCCAGGATCAGAGGACTCCTATAAAATTTAACTTTGTCAGGAGTCAAATTAGAAGCTGGTCAGTCCAAGACTTGGGTAGAAGCTGAGTTCTGAGAAAAGTTCAGATAGAAGACCTGTGCACAAGGGATTAATAATTTGAGGGTTTGTGTCACAAATGGAGATAGAGACTATGTCTGAAAACAAGCATTACAGATTAAGAGGACAAATTTGAGGTCCAAATTGAAATAAAGTGGACTGGAAAGTAAAGAAGCCAGAGTTTGCTGTAGGTCCTGATGTATTTACGTGGTGAAGCTTCCTTAAACTATGATGTCACAAATTTGGCCCTTAAGAATTCTCCTTTATTTTATTAAATGAAAAAAAAAAATGTGATTCTGTGAGCCCATGAATTATCAGTTGTAATATGGCTGATCGATACCAGAACCAAGAACTTTTGCTTTTGTTCTCATGCTTCCTGTCTCATGTCAGTAATACCTTATATCAGTAATACAGTTAAGGAAGAAATGCCCTGATATATGGACTGTATTCTTTTCAACTAGGAAATGCATTTCTGAAGTTGTCTAATATAGACAAGTGGGAAAACATGCTAATTGCTCATATGACCTGAAAAAAATCAAGTGGTGGTTCTTTGACTATCTGGGTCATGGATTTCCATCTCATATATTTAAATACTTTTATCACTTTAAAGGTTGTTTCTAAAGTCATGTATCCATATAATTTTTTGTATCTATGAAAATGGGTTTAGAAAAAAATTCATAAAAATAAGTTTCAAAATAATTCATAAAATTCTGATTAAATGTCAGAAAAGATTTTGAGCAGAATTCAAATTCATCAAAATATTCTGTTTCAGAGTAAATGCATGCAAATATTTGTATACTTAGGTCACAGTTTGGATATTAGATTTTAGATTTGAATCCAAATAGTGAAACACATTAGTAAATGTACTTTGGAAAATCTCTCTAAATGTCTTCTTTTCTCAACATAAAGCAGGCATAATTCTCTCTCATTGTTTGTTGTGAAAATTAAATATGTGTAAATATGCTGCAAACAGCATCAAAAATCATGCTACTTGAATAAGTATTGAAAGAATATTAGCCATATTCAAAACAATAACAACTGGAATATATATACATACACATTACTTGTATTTTATTTTATGAACAAATATCAGTATTCAATTACTGGTCTTTGGGCTAATGTACAAGTGTGGCATGAAAAACCTGATTAGGTAAAAGAAGCATATTTCCTTTGAGAGAGACTGAATGAAGAGTCCAGAGAGAGATAGGAACCTTATATATTGTTTCAATTAATGTTGATTATGTCCCAAGACTTACAAGATATTCTTCCATAGAGGATATTACTCTGGATATAGACACGGCTCATCCTTATCTCCAAATTTCTGAAGATAAAAAAAGCGTGAAAGGAGGTGATACCTTTAAGGAACTACCAAAGTGTCAGAAACGGTTTGATAATCTGGTCTGTGTATTGGGTCAGCAGACTTTCTTGGAAGGTAGACATTACTGGGAGGTGAGTGTGAAAGAGAAAGTAAAATGGACCCTGGGAATTTGCAAGGATTCAATCTGCAGACGGGGGGAAATCCAGGTCTTCCCAGAGTCTGGGTTCTGGACACTATGTTTGAATACAGAAAATAACTACCAAGCCCTTGAAAATCCCCCTGTGACACTCCAAATTGAAGAAGTTCCTGAGATCATTGGAATATTCTTGGATTATAAGGCTGGGAGGATTTCCTTTTATAATGTGACCAATCTGACTCATATGTACACCTTCAGAACGCGATTCACAGGAGACCTGAGGCCATACTTCTATCCTGGACCCCTCAGAGGTGGTTCAAATCGACACCCACTTACCATCCTGTCATCAGGTGATATATAACAAACTACAGAAGAAAATGATTATGGAACTGAGAAAAACACTCCAAGTTTTCCATCTGCTCTCATTTGAGAGCAACGTATATGGAGATTAATTCTCTATTTTATGGAACAAAATACTTTGTTTTAAATTGTATAGAATTCAAATAAAATTCAATGTCAAATTATATATTTATATAGTTTCAGTCCCTGGTATGCCCATATATCCTATATGTTAATGGTTTAGAAATATGTGTTGATTTGAATTATATGACACAGAATTTACACAGTTGACAATCAAGGATACAGAATATAAACACAACTTCAAAAATTAACAATAGGAAGTTTTCACTTATGCAAGAGGGAAAATAATTTTAACTCTAGGTTGATTACTATTGGGTACAACTTGTCTTTCATTCGTGTTTAGAGATGGAAAAGGGAAAGGGTTCACATCTAACTGAGGTTGCCTAAACCCAGAGGAGCATATTTGCTTTGACAAAAGTGTTTTAAGCCTTGGAACATAAACTCCAAGCAAGTATCCATCCCAAGCACTATTTCTTCACCACATTGCTATTTTGGAGACTACATTTTTATATTATAGTTTCCAATTTAAATGAATACAAAAGCACCAGTATTCATGAATCTCAAACATACTTATTGGTTACCTATGTATTGTTACTATAACTGTCACCAAGATAAAATCTTCGTGGTCAATATATACATAATCTGTATCCTCATAAAGCCTAAATTTAGTCAGACAGACAGTCATATAGGTAAAAAACTGAGAAGCAATTGCACAATTTAAAAAGTTATGCAGGAAAAGATTAGGGGATCTGTATATAGAATAAGGGTGGACGTGTTTATTTAGTTTCAGTCATTAGGAAAAACCTTCTGAGAAAGCAATATGCAAAAGATAAAATTTGCCAAATGCTGGGAGCATTTAATTTTGGAAATTTGTGAAGTTTGAAAACAACAGAAACACTTGAGACAGTGAAAAAAGACCTTTGGAATTCAGTTTAAGTGTGGCACTAAGTTGTTTGAAATTAGCTTTCAAAAGGAAGTAACTGAAGCCGCATAGTTAAGATGAATCTCCTTTATCCTGCAAGAGGGAGACTTTTTGTATGAATTTAAATTAAATATTTAATATTAATAAAGGGGCTTCAAAAAGTCTGTAGAAAATTTCCATTCATTTAAAAATTTTATTTTTCTACAAAGTTTTTGAAACCCCTTGAAAGTAAAGATATGCTGAAAAGAACTATTTGGGCTGTAAAAACAATAGATGTCAAGCTCATCATATAGCTTATTTTAAAGGAGGTGGTCCAAGTCTGAATAAATATTAACCTCTCATTAACATGGAATATTCAGTAAAGTTAGGAGCATGGCAACCAATAGGTTTTAAGAAAGTTCTAGATGTATATTCTGAGGCATTATCTCAGAAGGGGAGATGATACGATTGCCTACCCCTCACATTAAATATAGGAAAAGAGATCTCCTAAAGAGGTTGATATATACCCATGAATTCCGATGAGTGCAGTGGACTGATGCTTAATACCTGCCTTGAAAGTTTAAAGGGTGAAAGAATAACTGGTAGCTGCTTTATTAAGTGAGAGATAAGTGATGCATTGGGTGACTTGTACATTTCAACCTTCTCTGGTTGAAGAGTCCATGATTCCTGAAGACTAGGATGTGATCCACAAGAAAGTGTGCCTCTGGGATTCGCCTAAGGTCCCATTCAAGAGGGATACCAACGTTAAGTGAGAAATCATTAGTGAAAATTGGATGAGGTGTTTCAGGATGCCTGTAGTTGCAGAAGTAATATACATATAACAATCCAGTATAGAGATTTATTCACCCTCCTTAAGATAATTGCAGGTGAATGGTCCTCTTCAGTCTTGGGGAGGGGGTGGCTTTTAAGAACTCTTGGGGGAAAAGATATCTTTAAATGCCTTCCAAAAATAGCTTATCACAACCATGGTAACTTTCAAGTAAGAGCTTTGTTACTTGTATTACCTCTTCTTTTACTAACACTCTAGTCTTACAGTACAGAAAATTGTTAAAACTCAAGATGATGACAGGTAAAGAGCATAGGTGGGGGGAAAGGACTATCAAGCTCCAAATTTCTGATTGCCTGTGCCCCACCAACAAAAAGGTCCAAGTTAGAGAAGTGAAATAAACCTCAAATCATCAACTTAGTGTTGAAATAGAAAATTTGACATTTTCATTACTGAACTTAGACCCTATGTGCGTATGTGTACATTGTGTATGTGCTTGTATGTGTTTTATAACTTGCAATAATTTTTTCCCCTAACTGTAATCTGAATGGTTGGAAAAGACATAGTTTATCAGAAAAAAAAAGGTGTTAGTGGAGGAAAAGTAAAGTTGCTTTATTTTGCATTCCACTTATCATACTTGTTCAGCTTAACAGTACAACAGTTCAACCACCATTTATGCTTGTTAAACTGTCCTAGAGGCACATATTTATGACAGGTTTTAAATTCTTATATCTTAGCTCCAGATATACCCACCTGTACTCTGCTTCATGCTTCTGGGTCTGAGAGTCTACAAATCTCTGTTATATTTTGCCCAATGACTTCTTAATAGATTCAGTTAGTAAAGAAAATCAGAAGGAAAGAGGCAGGCTTCAGCAATCCAATCCTTTGACTATGCTAGCTCTTCTACAAGCATTGTATCAATAATGAATTTTTATCCTGAAAGTAGTAGTTGTGTCCAGTAGTGCTGGATTCCACTTTCAAAACCAAGCACATTGCAATTTTGTCTTACATGTTTCAGCTACAACACTACTGTGTCCCTCCATCTAAACATGGAGTGCAAGCACCAGCTATATACCAATTCCCTTATTAGAGATTAGGGACTCATTCCTATGAGACCCTTCCTCCAAGCTCCTGGCTGTTATTGTTAGGTGATTTTGAGTAAGGTCTGTCTCATAGCAACCCTATGTACAACAGGATGAAACACTTCCATCCCAGCCTCACAATTATTATTCTTCAGTCCAATGTTTTTGCCACAGGGGCAATCCATCTTGTTGAGTGCCTTCCTTTTGGGCTGACCCTCCATTTTACCAAGAATGAGGCATAATTTCTCCTGACAACATGTCCAAACTATGAGAGACAATGTCTTGCCATCCTCACTTTAAAGGAGCATTCTGGCAATACTTCTTCCTAGACAGACTTGTTTATTCTTCTGGCAACCTAAGGTGTTTTCAATATTCTCCATCACCATACCTCAAATGCATCAACTCTTATACAGCTGTCCTTATTCATCACCCAACTTTCACATGCATATGAGATGACTGAAAATATCATGACATGAGTTAAATGCACGTGAGTCCTCAAACTGATATTTTTGCATGTGAACACTTTGAAAAGGTCTTTTACAGCAGGTTGGCCTGATGCAACACGTTGTTTGATTTCTTGGCTGCTACTTCCATGACTGTTGAAATCCAAGTAGGATTCAAAAGATGTCATGAAACTAGGGACGTTTTTACTGATTTAAGCTGAATCTTGGCTGAAAGCAGAAAATACCAGAAACATATTTACTTATGATTTATTGACTGTTCAAAAGCTTTCAATTGTGTGGATCATGGATTTTGATTATGTGGATCGTGACAAGCTTTGGATAACATTGTGAAGAATGGGTTTTCCAGAACACTTAATTGTCCTCCATAGAACCTGTGCATAGACCAACAGACAGTTGTTTGAACAGAACAAGAGGATACTGAATAGTTTAAAATCAGAATGACTATGCACCAGAGTTGTGTTCTTTCATCATACTTACTAAATCTGCATGCTGAGCAAATAATCCAAGAAGCTGGATTACATGAAGAAGAATATGGCATCAGGATTGGAGGAAGATTCATTATTATAACCTGTGATATACAGAAGATACAACCTTAATTTCTGGAAATGAAGAGGACCTAAAATACTGATGAATATCAAAGACAACAGTCTTGAGTATGGATTTCACCTCAATGTAAAGAAAACAAAAATCCTCACAATTGGACAGATAACTAACATCATGATATATGGAGAAAGGATTGACATTGTCAAAGATATCATTTTGCTTGGATCTATTTTTTTTTCTTTCTTTCTTTAAAATCTTTTATTGTGAATTGAGTGAAGATTTGTAGAGCAGATCATCAGTTTTACATTCAACATATCATGTACTTCATTACATTGTTGCAATCTCCTCCATGTGCCAACAGTTAACAGCATTTAGCTCTATTCACTTTAACTACTGCATTCCTCCCTGTGTCTCCCTCCACCTCCATCTTTCCTCTACTAACCTCCTTCCAGGTGCATATTGCCTGCCCCATCACCAAGTCAATGCGCGTCTACCAACTAGAGCATGCATTGTTTCCTCCTCACCCCCAAACCATTATAGATTGTTACTTTTATCAAGAAAAAAAAAGGAAAAAAAAACCCTCTGGTTTTTTTTTTTTTTTTTTTTTTTGATGTACAAAAAAAGAAAAAACCTTGTAGTGATATATAATTGTTTAAAAACCAAAAGGCACATTTTGGAAGCCAGCCTCCTGGGTGCCAGCACACAGCCTTTCTCTTTCCATAAGTCTAGAGTCCTCTGCTTCTCTATCCCTCCATGCCATCATCTCTGCCTCCATCTCTGGTGTCACTGCTTCTCTGATTAGGGTCCTATGTTCCGCTCATATTCTTCTCTCTTTATGGTCCTAGGATTCTCTTTTCCTGGAATATAAGATTAACTACCCCTCTTCCCCTCTTTTTTTTTTTTTTTTTAACACAGCTTCTACCTTTAGAATTGTGACAATCACAATTAGGTATGATAACAATTTCTCATTATTGAATCAAATGAATCCTATCCCCATCTCCTTTCAGCAGATTCCTCTAGACAAGAGGAAAACTATTCAGTGGGGATTCTACTTCTCCCCCCCCACACTCTGAAACTAAACTCCCTCTTGAAAACTTGTAAGCCAGCCACTTCATGCTTTTGTACTACCTTCCCCCCATTTTAGGTAATCGTTGTCTACATTGC